GTCCCAGCTATAAAAATACAGAAATACTTTTAAACCAATTAGTAAATAGCCAGACCTGTGAACCTCCTCGTCTATCTTCCACTCATCCATACCTGCTTCTCCCAGCTCCTTCCCACACTCCCTCTCCATGATCAGTAACCAAAGAGTTAACTCGAGCACACCTGGGCCCTGATGATTGGTCCAGCTTTTCATCCTGATTGGTCAGTGGGCAGAACCTGAGTCAAAGCCAATACACATACTGTATCTTGACTATCAGCCCTGGTTGCAGCAACCCTGCTCCTTGGATTGGCTGAAGCACAGAAAAGAACTTTTAGAGGACACAGAGCAGCAGATGGAACAGGAAGGCAGTACATCAAACCTCTGAGGGACTGGAACCAGGAATTCTACATCTCGGGTCATGCGAACTTTGTCTTTGCTTTTCTCTGTGCTTTGAAGCCCCCTCTAAAAATTGGACGCCTCAGGCTGGAACTGCACATCACCTGGCCTCTACTGACACCCCAGTAGCTCACAAACATGAATTTTTTTCTTTTGTGCTGGGGATCAAATCATGCATGCTAGTCAAGCACTATACAGCTAAACTATACCCACAGTTCCAGTCCCAGAAGTAACTGCTTGAGTCAAGCATCCACTTCTGCTCCCACCAGTTCTGTAGGGGGTAGGATATCTCAAAGTGCAAGCATGGATGTTGGGTCCTGCTGCATCAGAGAGGACACTGAGCTCCTGTAGGCAGGGCCTAGAACCCTGGAAGATTCTCCTTCAGAATTGTGGAATCATGGGGTCCTTAGGTGTAGGACTGTGTTCCTAGCTGCCCCAGGTGGCAGGAGGGAGGAGGCCAGAACTGATCAGAGGTTTGTTTGGATGGTCTGAAGAGTTAGGGAGTTGGTACTTAGAAGTGTGAACCCTGGTGACAGCGAGGCAGGAGAATGAGGTTGGAGGAGCCTCCAGAGCCTATACATAGTGAACCACAGAGAAGTAAACTTTTCTCTGCAACATGCCTACTCCACATCTCCCACCCCCACGTGCCCTTAATCTGTCTTGTACTGCTCTCTCTAAGTCATTCTCGTAACACAACACATGCATGACTCAGGGGCTCCTGTGGTTAACAGTGATGGCTGTGGCCCTGTAGCTGCTACCACAACTCATTAACCTCTTCCTATGTGTCAATTATTGTGTGAAATTCTGTACTTTTAAATTCCGGGAAGCCCTGGGAAAACCACTTTACCTCTTAGTTCCCTAATTTCCTCCTCTGTAAAATGGGTGTAGTAAGTAGTGCCTATTTCACAGGGGAATTAAAAGGATCAAATGATTTAATGCCTGACAAATCCCTTAAAACAGTTCCTGGCACAAATAAATCCCTCAATAAATGATAATATTCAATCATTGAATATTTACTGAGTGAACACTTTTTATATGTCAAGTAAAATATAAGCCCTGGGAATATAAAGGTTAGCAAAATTGCCTCCCGTTGCTTGCAGTTCAGAGATGCAGCAATGATAACTCAGTGGTTTAAATGCCTGGATGTGGAAGATGTGAGGAGGCAGGACACTGTTCAAGTCTTTTTGTTTCTCTCTGTGATTAGAGTGTAAGTTCTCTGTGAAGAGGCATTCTGTCTTTTTTGATCACAGCTGTATTGTCCAATGTATAAGAAGGACCTGCTCTTATATTAACCTTTTCTGGGTGACTGAATGAATGAAGTGAAACGTTAGTTGCATCTGAAAGACAAGGGGCTAATGGAATGAAGTTGGGAGGTGAAGACAGGAGCGTCATAGTGCCTGACCCTGTCTCAGGTAGGGGCCAGCTGAGTGACCTTGATGAAGTTATTCTCCAGGCTGGGTCCTTGTCATCATGGTCCCAATGGAAGTGTAAAGCGCATGGCCTGTGGTGAGGGCTGGAGAGAGCGCTGAGACCCCCGTGTCTACAAACATGTCTCAACAGTGCGTTCTCTTTTCCCTTTTCAGTTGTTGAGCCACTTGATATTTCCTGTTATTAAAGAGCTATGTTGAGATGGAGGAGATTCTTGATCATATTTGGTCATAAATGCTTCAATCTTCCTTAAAATCTTCCACAGGCATATTTACAAAGGATGCTTGAAAAATATAGTGAACGTTTCAATGAAAATTTCTATCTCAGTAAAAGACACATGACTACTATTTTCCCTCAGGATAGTCCCACTTGCTTTGAACACACTTTTCCCATTGTTCTTGCTGCTTTCTGAAGCAGATCTGAATATCCTCTTTCATGATTGTCTTTGCCAGGTGTGATAAAAACAGTATGGTAAACATTGTTACCAAGTGCCAACCAACAGAAAGGCAGAGTTGTCAAAACTTTGTGGTGTGTCCTCATCCACCTAGTCACCAGATCTGGCACTGCAACTTCTGATTCTTTCTAAGTTAAAATGATCCCAAAAGGTAAGTATTTTGAATCGATTCAGGAAATTGAGGCTGAAGACACTTAACAGAAGAAGTTCCAGAACTTCCTAAGAAAGTAGAAAGAATGATGAGATAAATGTGTTTGAAATAAAGGAGAGACGATTTGGGAGTGGGGAAATTAATGGAAGCATGCCCTTTATTATAATAAATTATTTTAAATTTAAACATTTGCAGAATTTTTCAGTCATACCCTACACATTAAGTTCAGCACAGTTGACATACAGATCGTTCAAATCACTCAAATAAGCTAGCAAATGCTACCCTTGTTTTGGTTAATCCCTTCCCCTTTTGAACCACTGATCTATTTTCTGACCCTGTAGTTTTGTAAACATCACACAAATGGAGCCATATTGCACGGAGCCCTTGGTGTTCGATGTCTTTCTTTTAGTTTGATGCTTCTGAGATTCCTGCCTGTTGTGGCATGTGTCAGTAACTCCTTTCTTGTTGCTGAGAGGTATCCTCTTGGATAGAGGCATCATTTTTTTTTCTTTTGGAGCCATGGTCTTGCTATGCAGTTTAGGCTGGCCTTGAGCTCACTTTATAGCCTCGGCAGGTCTCGAACTTGCAACAATTCTCCTGCCTCAGCCTCTTGAGTGCAGGAATAACAAGCATGCACCACCACACCCATCACTTTTTATCCCTTTACTTGTTGGAAGATATCGGGTTGTTTCCAGTTTGGGGCTATAATGAGTAAAGTGGCTTTCAACCTTCATATACAGGTTTTGGATAGACATATATTTCATTTCATCTAGGACTAGGCCACAGATCATATATGCGTGGGGGATAGTTAACATTTTAAGAAATTCCCAACTAGTTTCCAAAGTGATTGCACCATTTTGCACTTCTCCTCCAATTGTATCAAAGTTCAGATTGTATTTTCACCTCATCAGTACTGCCAGATATCTTGACATTGTCACTTTCAATTTTTTGAAACTTTAATAACTTTACTAGGTATGTGGATTATTCTTAAAATTTTAAAATGGCAGTTTTCTTAGGAGAACCACTCATCACTTTATAGCATATAAAATAATGTCACTTGTTATATCTATTTATTTCCTCACTTGCTCATTTTCTGTCTCTGTAACCAGCATATAAATTTTAGCACCTGTACCAATAAATACATGTTTATGACGAGTGAATGGAGAAAAGATTGGAGCGTCAGGGAGCTCTGTGTTGGAATCTGAAGCTCATGGTATTAAACTTTGGCAGTACACTACTTCACAGAAAAAGCAACTTCTCTGCTAGGTTGGGGAGGAGAAGGAGTTTTTAGTTAGGACAGAGAAAGACATGTAGATCCAGAGGGCAGTGAAGGGCGTGGCATGTCTGGGGGGCGAATGAGTTCTGTGTGCCGAGAACATAGTGCACACCCAGGCGCACACAGTGTTAGGGGGGCTGGACCACACTAGAGATACAGTGACAATAACATGGAAGCTTATACTTACTGCTTACTATGTGCCAGGAGTTCTAAGATCTCTACATAGGTTAATCCATTTATTCTTCCTGACAGCCTTACATTGTAATGATAGTCTTGGCACTATCATTATCTCTGTTTTACAGACAAGGAAGCTGAAGCAGAAAAAGATTAAATAACTTGCTCAAAGTCATTCACCGAGGAAGAAGCCAGGCAGTTTATGCTCTGAAGTCTGTAGCTTTAATCATTATGCTACACTGCCAGGTTATGAGGGCCATGTTTATTAGATGGGGAATTATGTAAGCTACTGTAACATAATCCTCAAAATATGATGATTTAAACAAGACATAAATAGAGAGAGTGTCCCTCAGGGTGAAACTCAAGGCTAATAGGGTGCATTTGTCTTTTCCGACTTGGCTTGAGTTTGGGTTTAAGATGATCACTTTTAGCTGATCATTTTGCTGCAGCCGGTAGAAAAGGGAAAGGGACCAGGGAGCTCAATTCCTTTTAAGAGGATGACCAGAACACAACTATCCCATGGCCAGGTCCCAGGCATATGGCTGCCATGAGCTGCAAGGGAGAACAGGAAACGTGGTCTCCAACTGGACAGCATGTTTGCTACTAAAAGGGTGCGGTTATTTAAGGGAAGCGTGGACATCGCGCCACAGCTTGAGCACCATTCAATGGACTTGGAACTTTTTGCTGTAGGTGATGAGTAACTGGCAAATGGCCTCTAAGTGGGAATGCTGCATGCACAGAGTTGAGTTTTAGACCACTCCAGAAGCTTATATGGGAAATAAAGGGAAGAGGGATACAGGAACAAGGAGGTCTGTTAAATTCATGTGACTGTCACTTTGCTTTGCTGCCTCTGGAGTCATGGGAGCCAATAGGTGGAATTCTCAGGTGGCCCAGAAGGAAGTTTTACAGGCAAAGGAGTGTGTGGGGGGAACAGAATTGGAACAGCTGTCTTCCTTATTAAGTTGCTCAACAGAGTTTGTCCAGCACTGTGTCTGGATTCAGGACTCCAGTGATAGTCCCCACAGCTTTCCTAAGTGCTGGGGCCAAGTGCAGTTCTTGGTAAGTTTTGCAGTGACAATGCAGTGTCAATCTTTCGCTCGCCTCACTGACCCTGACCTGTCTTTTGTTTCTCTTGGCCTCAGGACCCCCGGAGCAAACACAAGTTTAAGATCCACACCTACTCCAGCCCCACATTTTGTGACCACTGTGGGTCATTGCTGTATGGACTCATCCATCAGGGGATGAAATGCGATAGTAAGTACACTGTTCCAGCCTCTTCTGACAACAGGTGGAAGCAACAGGAAGGGACAGCTTGCTTCTTCGTAGTTTGGAGTCTAGGTCTGCAGTATATTGCCTGATCCCTGGATGGAGCTGAGGCCCCAGTTACCTATTAACTGTGCAGCAATTCTTCCTCCCCATGACATAATAGATACTTTCTTAACTTACTATTCTGCAAGGCTTGTCCTTTGGTTCTGGGTTGGAGTCAGCTGATGTCAGCTGGGTGTCTTCATGCATATGTGATGGGTTAGTGATTGGGTGGGGATTGTCTGGGCATGGTTCCCACATTTCTAGGATGGCTTATTGTCTTCTGGGTGATGGGGCTGCCTGGGCCCCATGCCTTTATCTCATTAGCTCACTGGCTAGCTCACATGGAGGTCACAAGGTTCTGAGTGCTCTTGAAGGTCCTACTGGTCAGTGAAGCACATGATGGAGTTCAGTCAGTGTGGGAGGGGACTGACCACAGGTATGAGTGCAGAGAGGCATGAACCTTCGGGGTCCATTCCTACAGCTCTACATCACTGTTTCCACTGAGTGCAGCAGGAATGTCTACTCCAGGATGTCAGTGGGTGACACATTCTTCTTGTAGAGAAGACCTACCTCCTTGTAGTACCCAGGTTTATACCAGAAGAGGGAGGAGAACATGGTCAGTGGGTAGGGAAAGGAAGGCAGGGGCAAGACTCCTCTGTTAGGAAAGATCTGCGTGGCCTCTGGGGCTCTGAGCACTGTGGATGCAAAGGGGCAGGGAGGCTCCGTGTGCTGGTGGCTGCTAGGCCTGGTGGTCTACAGCAGGCTGGGAAGTTGTGGGACCCACACTCTGGTATATGTGGAGAGACAGAGAAACAGACACACATGAGAGAGGGAGAGAAACAGATTGGGCCCACTGCGGAGTGGAACAGAGCTGTCCCAGGTGCAGTGAAGGCAGCGAGGTGCACACAGTGACCAGGGGGGGGGGGGGACAGGGTCAAGGCAGAGATGCACACTGACGAAGGCACGGAGAGACAGAGGTGGCCTCAAATGGGGAGTGCTCTGTGGACAGCCCCCCCCCCCACACACACACAAGTGACGCAGCAAGACTGGCGCTTTCTGCCTGTAGGACTTGGAGCCCTTTTATCACACAGAGCCCCCACGTATGGGGCCGATGCTTCTGCCTCGAAGGCAGGGCTGAGTGGTGAGTAGCAACGCAGGCTGGTGCTCAGTCCCTGGAGTTTACACTTCCTCTCCTGCTCTGTTCCTCTCCATGCAACTTCTTTCTCATTTTGTAATCTGCCTGCTGTGTCCTGAAGCTGGGGTGGACTGAGAAGGAACTTCGGGGCATCCCTTCCCTGGGCTCTCTCAGGTCACCTGAAATGCAGGCCCGGGAGCTCAGCTGCTCTCCCTGTCTTCTTACATTGGACCAAAGAGTGCCCTAGAGAATGCTGGACTTCTGGGTCAGCTTCCTGTAACTGCCACTGCTGCACAGGTCTCAAGGGAAGTCAGCCACCATGTGGAAGCAAACACAGACACACTACAGAGCACGGGGCAGGGGCTTTTATATGCAGATGATGCACAAGACACTGTAGGACAACTTTTTACATGTATGGTTCATTCCTCTCACTTCTGTCCACATTTATTCATGTAGTTCACTATGGTGGACTCTGCATCTGCCCAGACCTCCTCCTGGAGTTCTTCAAGTCTTCCAGCTGCTGTGGGGTTACAGTGGCGCCCCTCCGGGAGAATTGCCCAAATTGCCCAACGTGACATCACGGGTGGGCTCCCCATAAATCACAGTTCTGGTTCATTTACTTCCAGAGAACCTAGCAGATTTCCTGTCCATATTTAAAAACTGGAAGATGTCACACATATATCCCTGTTCCTGGTGATCATAAATTAAATTACATTAAATTAATTAAATGATGTACATCTTGACATCTTGGAGCAGACATTCCTGCTGGACTCAGTGGGTTGGGGGAAGCTGGGCTGTGCTCATGGCCACAGCTGAGTCTTCCCTTAGTCATGTGACCAGTGGCTTTTGAGCATTCAGGTTGGTGACTCTGGCTTCATCACCTTGGGTGGGGGAGTGCAGAGGGTGAATATGTTCAACCCCTTTTTTCCATCAAGAAAGGGAGAGAGAACTGGTGAGCCCTTCTAATGAGACCCCGAGAAGGTCATTTCTTCTCAGCCAGGCTCATGGGACAGGAATAGAGAGGGCCCAGCAGGCATGGGGGCCAAATACCTGTGCCTCCTGCCCGACTCAACTTGCCCCTCCTCCCCTCTCTCTACCCTCGCAGCCTGCATGATGAACGTCCACAAGCGCTGCGTGATGAACGTCCCCAGCCTCTGTGGCACTGATCACACAGAACGCCGCGGCCGCATCTACATCCAGGCCCACATCGACAGGGACGTCCTCATTGTTGTTGGTAGGTGGCCTTTGATTCCTGCGCCTCTGGCTGCACAGATTCTTGACCCTCCTTGACCCAGGCATTTGAGGAGGGGAGAATGGTGTAGGGATAGGGGTGGTTATGGGGCAAGGAGGGGAGGGGATCATGGCATGGCCTGTCCCTGCAATGGGTACTGTTGGAAAATGTCTACCTTCAAAACTGAGTTCTCAGCACCGCAGGCTGGTGGGACTCAGAGGGAGATGACAGTCACTAAGCCCCTGACTTCTTTCTTTTTAAAACATCTTTGATGTAATTACTGTGCATATATACAGAGTGCAATGTAATATTTTGATATACATGTACAATGGGTAATGATCAAATGAAAGTAATTAGTATATCCATTGCCTCAAATATTGGTAATTTCTGTGTGTAGGAGGCATTCAAGGGATTCCTAACTTTCATAGGATCTCCACTCCCCTTCCTGCTCTGTTTCCCATTCTTCTGCAGTGTATGATTCTATCTCCTGTACTCAACAGAAAGATGATCTTAGTTCCTCCCTAAACACTTCTAGTGGGAGAATGGGATTGTGATCCATACCAGATCTAGCGGATTATATTGTCTCAGAGAAAGGAGGCAAGCAGGGTACAATCCAGAGTGTAACCAGGGGCTTTGAAGGTATCTGAGATACTTTTCCTTAACCCGATGTTGGCTCCTGGTTGCTGTTACGTTATCCTATACACTTTATGTGTATCTGAAATATTCTGTGATAAAGAAGCCATGGTGCAGGCTAGAGGAGAGGTGCAGTGTGACGAGGAGAAAAACACAAGGTGGTGTCTGCTGCTCAAATAGCAAGCTTGCAGCATGTGCTCGGCTCAAGCAGCACTGAAATTCAGCTGTGAAAGACAGGTGGACACTCAGCCTTAGACTTCAGTAAAATCTGCATCAGCCTGGACATGAATGGAACTAAAACTTTGAAGGAATTCTTTTGCACAGGCTTGTGACGCAAACTGCCTTAGAATTTATATAACTGGCTCATGTGAACAAGGTTTTATGACTTGCAAAAATAGGTCTGCTTCTAAAGCCCCAGCCAGCATGGTTCAGTAGCTCTGAGGTGCTGAGCCCAGGGTTGGCAGGGGCTTTCCCTAAACCATCTAAAAGTTGAAAATATATCCCTGTAAAATAGAATTCCTCTTTTAAACTGCAGTATGTAAAACTCAGTGAGCTATTAGAAAATGTACATTCCACTGTATTTTTTTCTTTCACTGCTCTGCTGCTTGCTTCTCAGTGGGATGCTTGGAGATCCCTGCGGCAGCATGTGATGGTCCCAGGTTCAAGGGAAGCAATTTGCCCCGAGTGTAATCCTTGTGGCGCTCAAAGAGCAAAACTGAGACTCTCCTACCATCTAGTGTCCCTCTTCAGGAACTGCACTCAAAACGTTGCTGTAGGTAACCATGTACCACCATATAAGTGATATACCCTGCTTCTCAGTGTTTAAAATCTTTTGTATTATCCCTTTCTCCAATGTTCTCACAACAGCACTGCAAGATAACTGTTGTATTCATTTTGTAAACTAAGTAGCTGAGGCTAAGAAAAGTATATTTGTAAGAAATATGCTTCCATTTTTAGTAATAAAACAAAAGCTAACATTTAATAAGGTTTTGAAGGTGTCAGTCACTTAATATGTCAAGCACTTAAAGGCAATATCTTGTTTAATTTTTCAGGCAAGTATCATCATCATTCTGCCCATCAGGAAGTGGAATTGAAGTGTCACATGTATCCTCATCTAGATCTTTTTGATTCTTCAGCACTATATTATATACTCAGCTGTTGGTGCTTTTCTTTTCCACTTAGTTTTGCTCCTCTTCTTCCTTCCCCACTGTTCACTTACTTCTTTTGTGGTTCAGTTTGAGTAGCTGTTTTGGACCTTCTTGGGTAGTCTTTGTTCTGACAGGGGGACACATCGTTCAAGTTCCAGGCCAACTTTTCCCCTTCAATCATAGATATACCCTGGCCTTTGGGTATTTTGGTTCTCAGGAAATCCCCGGACATTCCAATGAATAGGAGGTACATTCATCTTCTAGTCCCACCAACCAGGTGGCTTCCCACCAGACATTTGTCACCTCAGTGCTATGGAGGCTAGAAGTCTGATAAGCTGTCATCAGGGTTGGTTTCTTCTGAGATTCTGAGTGAGCCTGTTCCATGCTCCTGTTGGTGGCTGGCAGTCTTTGGTGTCCATTGGCCTGTGGTTATGGCACTCTAGTCTCTGACTCCACCCTTACATGAGTTCTTCTGTGGGCATCTCTGTGCCTAGATTTCTCCTTCTGTGGGGACATCAGACTTTGAATAAGTCCCATCCTGACTAGTACAACACATTTTAACTTGATTACATCTGCAAAGACACTAGCTCTAGGTAAGGCTACCTTCACAGAAGCTGGGATAAGGAGTTGAACATCTCTTTATGGGGCACACAATTCAACCCATAATGGAAGGCAAGAAACTTGGGGCTCCCCTAAAGTTAAGGATAGAATTTCTGCATGCTTAGGGTTCTGGAAGCATGAATTAAACAGTTCCTAATGATTCAGTAGCACTTTGTGGTTGCTAAGTTGACCAGTGGAGGAGGTAGTGTTAGTGTCATCAGAGGGAGGAGGAAACGGAGACTCAGCAAAGCTGAATGCCTTGATCGAGGTCACAGGCAGAGGACGGAGGCACACCTGGGTCACTGTGTTACTGGGCCTGCCACCTATAGCCCCTTTTCCAGGCTTGAAATAGTCCATACTTAGCATGGTTTTGTTGATTGATCAGTGACACAAGAATCATGATGCTTTGGGTGCTTCTAAAGCAGGGGCAAGATGGGACTTTTATGTTCAAATGACTTATCAAGCTGCTATTGGGAGAAGAGAAAGCAAGTAGGACAGAGCATAAGAGAGCCTTGTAGAGAGTCTGACTCTAATTAAGGCTGTGTGTCCTAGTCCCATGGAGGGCTCTGGACCAAACCGGAAGCACTTATGAAGTCCCACCTGGAACCAAGGGCACTGGTCTGTCATGCTGTGGGTCAGGCCATGCTGGAGGATGACGGCATCTGTCAAAAACATATATTTTGAAGCCAAAATAACTCCTAATGTGAGTGCATTTGAAGACTGAGCCTTTGGGAGGTGGTTAGGATTAGTCAGGACATGAAAGCAGAAACCTACCTCATGATGAGCCTTAAAGGGGGAAGGTGCGGTGGCACACACCTGTAATTCTAGCACTGTGGGAGACTGAGGCAGGATGATCTCAAGTCCAGGGCCAGCCTTAGCAAGACTGTGTTTCAAAAATAAAAAAAATATAAATAAAAGGAACTGGGGATGTAACTCAGTAGGAAGGCCCTAGGATCAAACCCCATTACTAGAAAGAAAAAAGAAGAGATCTTTATCTCACTACCACATGGGGATGCAGGAAGAAGGTAGTCAAGCTAGGAAGAGGGGCAATCCCAGGATCTGAATCTGTCCGCACACTGGCCTTGGATTTTCCCAATCTATAATTGTGACAAATACATTGGTGTTATTCAAGCCACTCCATCCTGGCATTTTGTTATATCATCCTGACTAAAATAGCCTTTGCCCTAGGCTGCTCGGGTTGGAGATGGAAAGGTATCAGAGCCTTTCAGTTCAGGTGGCTTCTGCACAGCTGAGGGCATTTACCTGGACTCAGGGGCAGCTGTGAGCCATTGACAGCCGGGACCCACACAAGCTGGGGTGGGGAGTGGGTGTGCTGACGGGTATGATGGGAGCTGGGCAGGGTGTGAGAGCATTCAGGACATGGGTATCCTCTAATCCCCAAGTTCCTTGGTTTTATTGTTGGGATTTTAGGTCCCCCTTCTTGATCTTGTCCTGCAGATCAGGGAGGAGAAAGCTAAAGGTTGCTTGGGGACTTTATTTTTATTTCGGAAAGAATAAAATCAAATGACAGAAAACAAAATGGGGTCAGTTAAAACAAAAGGATGGACATAGTACATGACTTAAAACCAAAATACAAGGTGATCAACAATGATTACCATAATGTCTCTTGTTATCATAATAGAATTGCCCATATCATCAGACATAATAAAATTGAACATAGCAGTACAAAACAAAATCAATAAAAACAAAACATTGGAGACATTACAGGAATTCAAAAGAAGATAACAGTCAAACAAGAATGGGTATCATAGTGAATCTTATTTTTTTCAAAGTAGTTGACTATACCCTCAGACTTGATACTATCAAACAAAACATATTTGAATAAAATCAGTCAAAACAAGACAGTGAAAGCAATACAGGGCTTCAAATTAAGTTAATAAGAAATCAAAATGGTTACCATAGTATATCCTGCTATCTTTGGAATAGCTGTCCATGCCATCAAATCTAGGTAAGCAAACAAACTTGAACAGAATATAACCAAACTAAACAGAGCTATAAAAACAATATGGGTTTCAAATCATAATACAGGATTAACAATGTCCACTGCCTTCCCTTTTTAGACAATTCCTCCCATTCCACTTTTACAGAGTGCATTATACATTTTGTATCTCACTAACTCCTTTACCTTTCAGATTAGGGAGGCAATCCACTATTTACCTAGATAGTTTTGAACTTTATTTACCCCGGAACATGATCTCTAGTTGTATCCATTTACCTACAAGAGCCTCAAGGTTTTCCTTCCTTATAACTGAGTAGTTCTCCATTGTATAAAAGTGTTATGTCTTTCCAACCAATCTGCAACTGATGGGCAAGCTACCCCTACTTTTTTCTGGTTCCCTCTCACACAGAGCATTGTTTTCTCATCTTTGACTTCCAGTCTATAAACCCTCTTTCAAGTTAATTATATTTCTCATATAGAGAATCTTGATGGTCCCTATCTCCTGATCCACTCTGCCTGTGTTTCTTTTTATTAGTATATTGAGGCCATCTATATTAGTGATTATGGCCAGCCTTGTCTGACATGCTATTTTTTGGCCATTGGTTATCTGCTTTTCCCCTTCATTCCACTGTCTGCCCCGATCAGTGAGCCTCCTCTGCCAT